CAAGCAAAGTTTCAACAGAAATTCCAGGACTAATGGCAAGTTTAACTTTCACCTTAATAACTTGCATGCAAAAACATTATTAAATATACAGCCTACAACATTTATTTTTTATACTGCTTACTAGAATAATTTCTATGGAACACTTGTTCTTTATAAGTTCATAATCTTAAATTGATGGAGGTACCCCACGTGATGTAAAAATTAAAAATAGCTGAGATGGGATAGGAAAGAAATGCAATAAAACTGTTCCACCAATGTTAATATGGCATCATCAGGTAATCTATTAACTAATGAAACTGAGATAGACTTCAAATCATATTCCTAAACAACTATAATGCAGTTATTATATAAAACAATTATAGAGGTTTATGTATTCAGTTAAAAGTTTCATACAATTTTCTACTTTAAGTTATTCCTTTGTATGCTCTTGATCTCTTGAAAAATATACTTTTAGTTAAGGACACATTCACATAACTCCTCTGAAAGTTAAGTAATCTACACAGAACTATGCCTGCTTATGTTGTTAACACTATTTAATGATGTGAAAATGGTTTGCATTTGTTGACGTATTAAAATTCACTGATATAGTTCACCTCATGTTCTACTGCTTAGCATGTAAAGAAATGTTAACTAAGATGTTGATAAAATTTTTTTGTTCTGATTAATATTTATCACTTTAAACATCTTGGAAATCAAATGATGTTATTGCAGTTTAAATAATGGTCTGTAATGTGCCCTTCCCTTCTACCTGAGAATGTGATAAATTCTACACTTAGCAGAATACAATGAAAAAGAATCGCTGTGATTAGAATATAAAAAAAAATTAAGATTTAATATTACATTGGATTAGCTCCCAAAAAGGCTACATTTGTGCACGTGCTATAGTAATATATTGTGATTAATTATAGATAAAATGACAATACCACAGGATTGCAGATGGTGTGTCAGAATCCAGGCATATGCCCTTGTCAAACTGGCTGTAGATCCAATTTGTGTTTCTTCACTCTGATTTCAGATTTTAATTGTTAGAACTATTTTAAAAGACTACTAAGTTATAAAGTCTAATTTTTCAATAATACTTTGATTTTGTTTAGAAAAAAAAGTTTTATATACGTATATGAGCTGACACTGCAGTGATAAAAAAAGCCATGAAAGTTTGTCAGATAGTTGTCTAACTAATGGTAGCATCATTTGTTGGGAGACTGCATTCATCACAAGCGGGAATATGTTTCACCCAATAGAAGTAATAGAGAGAAAGATGCTGCCAAGATCCATCCAGCTGGTCACAGTAACCAGGAATGGATTGGTTATTAGTATAGGGAGTAGTCTGTACTATGCTTTGTGGTAAACCTTCCTGCCCTATTTCTGATCAAAGGGAGTGTCCACTCAGTCTCATACCAATGGGATTAAAGTGATCCAAAGAAGAATCCTCTCCAGTGGCTTGGTAACAGGAAACCAATGGATATCTCACTCCACTAGAAGGAAACTAGAGGAAAGCATGTCAGTAAGTAAGAATAATCTATGCTGAGAGCTTGTGCAATGAACGAGGACAGAAGGAATTGGCAAGATACAAAACCATGTCCAGTGCTGTTTGCAAATAGTATTAAAGCTTGAAAGGTAAAATATATAAAATACAGATTCTTGGGGAAAACCACCACCCCAAAATTGGTACTGGTAAGGGGAACTGGGCTTAGCACTTTCTCTTATCCTCTACTCGATTCAGGTTTTTGTGGAAAAGAGAAAGAAGTATTCTCTGTGATTCAACAATGACCACATGATGGGTTTCGTTGTTATTATTTATTACTTTTTTTGTATGTTGAGGTAGAAGATATAAACATCAGCACATCTCTAAAGACTGGAGAATAGTAACTGGAGGGAGATGAAACCCAGAGGTGAAAGGAACTGCAGTGTACTGCAAGTAATATGACACAAAGGTGTTGGGATCAACCATATCCTTGCCTGCAGTACCTCATCGAGGTGACATCTATTGCCAGTGGCAAGAGAAGCGGTGAGGTAACAAACTAGATGAGATGATAAGAAAAAGTCATCTCCCTCAGATGATTTTTTAACCCAATCAGTCACAAGAGTGAAAGGAATCCCACAACCAAACATATATTGAATGCCTCAAAAGGAGCAATGCAGGCAAGATAACAGTGAACTGTTGAAACAAGAAAATGGAGAGGATTAGGGTATGAATGATTGTACAGAGAAGAAATGGAAGGGAGAGCATTTAGAGAAAACATCATCTTACAAAGCAGGAAGCAAATAAACCTGTCCCTGTGGTAAACAGTGCAAAAAACATCCAAAGCAAAAATATCATTGATCTCTCCTGCAAATGAAAAATATGGTATGGGGAATAGGCAGCCAATGGATTCAGTAAAAAACATAGAGGCTTCATTATGAAAGAGGAACCAGATGAAGAGGACGAGTGATTAGAAAGGCTCGTATTAGGTAAGAGGCAGATAAATGACCAGGTAAAAAGAAAGAAAATCACTGACAAAGTAACAGAAAATAGTAGAAATGGACAGACCACCCTCAAAAACCCAGGTTAAAAAAGGACTGAGGTGAGGAAAAGTCAGATGATCTGGAGGAAAAGAGTGGTGAATGGATCAGCACTGATAAATTATACAACTGTGTTGATAATCTGGAAAGATGAACAATCGACAAGAGTGATCATGAAACAGGCTACTCTGCAGGCAAACCTCCCTGTCGTGGAATGAACTGAGCAGAACTCAAAAGGCATGGAACATTATGATAACAGATAAATGTCTAAAGCTTACATAAAAAAGAAGACTACTAAGACCAACAAAATAGGGGGATCTGTGATTGACAATGAAAACTACAACTGAACTGGCTAAAGAGGGGCAATGAGAAGAATCTGGCACTTGGAGCTGTGAAGTAAAGACAGAATCCTGGGAAGAAATTGAAAAAGAGGAGGAGAATAGACATACAGAAAGAGGGTGAAACTAATCCAAACTCAGAGGAAATACGTAGATGTTTTACTCTAGTCCTATATCATGGTGTTCTACAGCACGTTTGTATGCACCATCAACCAGTGTTGTAATGTTTACCTTTTCCAGCAATTTTAACTTTATGACATTTTTCATGATTTGGTAGCCTTCCTAACCTTTCACCCAATATAAGGCAAGAAAAGCCAAAACAAAGAGAGAGATTTATTTGGAACGCTGACTGTAACTGTAAGTCAGCGTTGTTGAACCATTTGGCTTTAAAAGTTATATTTTTATTTCATTTTTTAAGCACTTACCGGATCGATTCATTCGTAAGAATGTAAACGTTTAATTTGTAGCTTTTATTCAAAGGATAATGAAAAAAAATCTAACAGAAATTCCACAATGTTCATTTACAAAATAATGACCAAAAAAGCTGTTGCATCATACTACCTTTCTATTCTCCTAAGACAAGTCGGTGGTAACTTGCACACATTAGTGGCTCAGCGGCATGTCTGTGGACTTACAACGTTAACAATCGGGTTTAGATGCTCGTGGTAGGCACAGCACAGATAGCACATTGTGTAGCTTTGTGTTTAATTACATATAAACAAAAAAAGGCTTGCACAGAACACGGATCGTGTTCAAGAAAATATGGTCTCCCATTTCGTATGGGAGTATTCGCTGTGTGAAGCCCTTACCGTCACAGTAAATGGTGCTATTTATAAATATAATCCCAAGTTTTCCCAGTAAACCACAGGCGCAGTATACTGAATCATTCTTACTGTTTCTATGTTACACTCAGTTATAAACATCCTCTTTTTATAATGGACTTGTCTGCTCGAGAGTTCTAAAAATGAAGTTTCTGAACACTACCAACTTATCATAGTAGAGTATCACACCAAACATATAATAATTTACAAGCGCACCTACAGTAAAGCACAACAGGGTCAAGAGGCTGATGCTATTGTGTCACTTCATTGTCCAGCAAAACATCAATAAAAATGCATGTGCAAAGACACATATTTGCTGTATTAATGGAAAACACAATGTAAATGATCCACTGTAGGTGGTATGGGACCGGTCTTAGCTTTTGATTGGATTACTTGCACTATCTCACTGTAACAATTCTGTGTTTACCAGCTCGTTTTGCATCCATTTACCAGTGGCCACCTTTACAATACTGTACTTTAATACAATATGCTATTCATAAACTTTATGCACAAGTAAGTATTATATATATATATATTTCCTTTTTATTTAGTGAGACCAGTCCTCATCGGCCCTTAATGACTCTTTGCTACTGCTCATACCAACAGGGGCGGATTGGGATGGCTAAGCGGCCCGGGACTGGGATCACAGAGTGGCCCTGGGCAGGTTTTCTGTTAAACTTTTATTCCGATGATAAAGTG